TTCTTATATACAGGTATTTGCTGGCAACGTTGACCGACACACACGTGTAACTCACCAGCTGAGAGCCCCGCTTGTCAAGCGCTACCTACGATATGTTCCTCTCACGTGGAACCTTACAGCTTGTTTCAGGATGGATTTGCATGCATGCTGGGTTTGGTAATTTCAACAACATTCGTTACTGAGCGTAATGCGGCGTGCATGTTTATTATATCTACTTGGAGACTTTCAACGCAACTTCAGTCTTATATCCTAATCCAACTTATATTAGTCCAACAATTATTATTACTATATTTATTTTTATTTATTATATTTATCATGCACGCACGCACGCACACACAAAAACAAAAACGCGCGTGCGCGCACACGCACACACACGCACACGTGCGCACGCACACACATACGCACGTAATCATTGCAAATGGAGCTGTGCTTGCCATCGATCAATATTTTCAAGATATTTTGTCGGGAACGGCTTGTAAAACACGCGTGAAGGTTGTACATTTGTTTAAATGTTTTATACTTTGTTCAATGATATACATATATAGGCCTATATATAATATATACATTTGTCTATCTATCTGTTCATTTCGTTGGGTCCAATAGTACTCACTAAACATATATATACTGAAACCATTTCGGTACCTTAGAATCTCTTTACATATTGGATTTGATACCCCAGGGAGGAAGGAAAGGTGTGCATGAGGAGGGAGGAATTTGTTTAATCATTTTCATTTCTCTTTAGATCGTCTATATCTGTCGTAATAACGATCAGCCCTCTTCAAAACACAACTTCTAAGAGGCAGTCTTTCTCTTACACACTGTTCGAGATCGATAGATGTTGCAAGCTAACACGCGTAAGTGACAGCTACTACAGGCTGAAGCTAGGCGAGCGGCGTTAAGGATCGCATACTAAAACTTTCTAAAAAAAATTTTATAAATTATATTCTGAAATACCACTATAACGCTGCAGCCGGGTATAAGTACTAGTGTCGCATCAAACGACAACATGCAAACTCTGAGACAATAATATAATTTTCGGGATATTTTGCTGAATTACATGTGCATGCGGGCGCACGTGTGTGCGCGCTATATATATATAATAATATATATCTTTATATATATATATTATATATAATATATATATATATATATATAAGAGAGAGAGAGAGAGAGAGAGAGAGAGAGACAGAGAGAGAGAAGAGACTCGTGCATGGCATCGGACACGTGTTATGGGTTGGTTACGGGTATCCATAGTTTCAATCGATTGCTCGATTTGGCAACAACACAGCGTTACATAACGCAAACCATGTTCGCAAATAAACAGTGATGAGAAAGCGCCCGCTATAAATTTCGAATGACATTGCTAGAAGTAAAAAGAAACTATTTCGCAGACACTAAAATGCACTGTCGTCGGTACATCGCGGTCGATAGCATTCATGCGCTTCCTTCAACATTGGCTACAGTATTATCAGGGGTGAATGATAGATGTCTCTATTATTCACTCCTGGTATTATTATACATGCAGACACTGCGTTGTCATGCATCGCACACGACGTGTGTAATGTCTGCGGCGTCATTCTAGTTTGCAAATCATCGTTGGTATGGTCATTTATTCATAACAAGTTTTGAGGAAGGAGCTATTAGATATTGTTGTGTTTTCTTAATTAATGTGTTCGCTAGGGGTGGGGGGGTTAGCTGTTGCGATTTCTGTTGCCACTGCCCCAAAAGCAATTATAGCATGCAGGCAGCAGCAATAGGGTGTAGAAACGGTTATTTTTATTACTTAATTCACATACTTGCAACACAGTATACATTTTACTTCTGAACACAAACACACATATTCTTATACACACACGCACGCACGCACGCACGCACGCACACACACACACACACACACACACACACACACACACACTCATATACACCTTTACACTTCATATTATCAGGAGTGAATAGTAATAGAATAATCTATAATATCTAATAGAATAATAGAATAATCTATTATTATTCACTCCTGATATTATCTCGATATATAAGGTCAGAGGTAACAGTTTACGTCACGGCGTCCACAGCAACCAGCAGCTTTGATTAGCTGCAATATTATACCAATTCATATCAGCGGTGACAGTGCCATTCATTCATGATGAGGATGGGCTGGGCGCTGCTATAAATATTACATGCCTGCGAGTTTTTTTAAATGCATGACTATTCGGAGGTTATGGTATACTACTACTAGTACGTTGTGATGCGTTATGGTGTAGGTCAACGGCAGCTTTTCATCTGCCAGCGTGCAGGAGAGTTTGCGGAGAGTGCAGCCGTGTTATGGCGGTAACAAACAAGCGTAAACAGCGACCGTAGTACTGTAGTACGGTAGTAGATTGATCCGTGGGTAGACTTGCAACAACCATTCTGAGCAGTGCGCAAGAGATCTATCTATCTATCTATCTATCTATCTATCTATCTATCTATCTATCTATCTATCTATCTATCTATCTATCTATCTATCTATCTATCTATCTATCTATCTATCTATCTATCTATCTATCTATATATCTGTCTATCTATGTATTTATCTATATATTATTCTATCTATCTGTCTGTCTTTCTATCTATCCATCCATCCATCCATCCGTCCGTCCGTCCGTCCGTCCGTCCGTCCGTCCGTCCGTCCATCCATCCATCCATCCATTCATCTCTCTCTCCTCTCTCTTTTTTTCTCCCCTCCCTCTCTCTCCTTCTCTCTTCTCTACCTTTCTCTCATTGCATAAATATTTATCACTAAGTACGATCCTTTACCAACCCGTCTTTAGCGGTAATAACACATCGGTGGTATTTAAAATAAATGTGGGATAGTATCGCATCTCTGGTGTTATCTCTCTGTGCACAAGCTCACAGAAACATAGTCAAGAAAGAAAGTGAGAAAGAAGGAAAGATGAGAAACTCCTTGCTTTCTATGAGTTTGTCCACACTGACGTGCGAGCGAGATGATGAGATTGTGTGTAGTAGAGGAGCATTTGAACCCTCGTTTACGTTGAATTATTAGGCGTATAGTACATAAACATTAAGACTTGAGAGTAAGAAGTACCTAGTGAACACAATTTGTGTTAATTTACCACCATGTTATTAATTACTGTTATTACGGCCCGAGTAGCCCCGTTGCGGGTCATTTGTGTATTCTCCTCGATTTATTAACTTCTAGATGTTGGGCCAATTTTAACACTCCCCGAATAATATATATATATATAAGATATATGTTATATATACATGCTAATATGTGTTGCACGTAAATATATATAGTTGCAATGTAATAGTGGTTGTGCGGCCGTGCATAAGGTCGCGGGGTTAAATGTATAAGGCACGAATGTATTTTAAACTAAAAAAGGAACTCCATATAGCGTTTTGCCATAAGTAAAAAAGATATTTTCGGTTGTTCAATTTGAAGCATGGTTTATTTTCTTTTGAGTCGTTGGTGTGTGAATGTTTATTTAGACGATTTTATTAACTATCTTATCGTGTTCAGTTAACACGCATTACGCACCGGGACAAGGCCAATAAACCAGTTATTAAATTTGATAAGGCGCTTATTTTATTTTGAAATTAAAAATACGATATAATAACCTTCTTTAATTTTACAATATTTCAATGTTTTTCCACAAAAAATGCACGAAAACTACAAACACATAGATAATGCGTAAATATAATAAATGGGCCTAAAACACTCCAAAAATCAACTTGCTGCCCTTGATATAATATAACAACCGAAGAATAATCACAACGGATCTTCGAGTCAACGAGGATTCAAATATCTCAAGGATAAAATTTTTTTGGTTTTATGACTTATCAGCTAAATTATCAGTTTAGATATAGAATGGTCGCTTGAACACGATTGGCGGCCATAGACCCCGTGACGTATAACACGTAAAAACACGAACGACAACAACACGTTTACAACCGGCATTACAAAACAAATAGGCGAAACACGCCTCTAAATGCAGCAAATTATTGTACGAATGCCGACCCTATCATGAAGTGTATTATATATATAATATATATAATAATATATAATAATCGTAAATATTATTATACTCCTCCGACCCTATCAAAGGAGTGTAATAACACACACAACCACGCACGCAACACACGCACGCACCGCGCCGCGCGCACACAGACAAAGCACGCACGCCACGCACACGACAACAACGGCACGCAACGCAACACACACCATACGGGGCATATATTATGTATTGTCCCACTCTTGATTTCAGTGTTAATATATATATATTTTATATATATAATATAGCAAATAATACACTCCGTGACTCTATCCATGATCCTGCCCTCCACAATCACCACAGTCGGCTGCTTAGAACCACACACAGGAAAAAACATTTGCTATTCTTTTCCCCCGGCATTCACAAACGCGTTGAAATCGGCGGCTGTCCCCTATTAAGCTTTCGCCATGACAAAAAGTTGGCGCGTTCTCTCGTCTCTCCTCCTCTCTCTCTCTCTCTCTCTCCCCTCTCTATCGCGTGCTCACGTTCTCTCCTTCTCTCTTTCTCTCTCTCTATCGCGCGCCGCATCTCGTCTCTCTCATCTCTCTATCTCCTGTCTTCTCTCCTCTCGTCTCCTCCCTCTCTTACTCTCGCACTCATTCTGTCCTCTCCAACTCTCTCTTCTCTTTCGCGGCGCTGCAGACCTTTCTCTCTCTCTATCTCCTTCCTCTCCGACGTCTCTCTTTCTTTCTCTCTCTCTCCTCCTCCCCTCTCTCTCGCTCTCTCTCTGTCCCCCTCTCTCTTTTCCCCCTCTTAGTCTCTCTCTCTCCCCCTCTTTCTCTCTCTCGCTCTCTCTCTGTTTCTTTCTCTCTCTCTCCATCTCTCTCTCGCGCTTCTCCCTCTCTCTCTCTCTCTCTCTCTCGCTCTCGCTCTCTCTCTCCCACTTCTCTCTCTCGACCACTGTGAAGGCATAGCGACACGGGGTGAGGAACGAGCGGCCCGGCCCCATCACGTGATACGAATGATCGGGAAAGCCTTGTGCGGCGTGAAGAGAAACTCCGGCGGCTCCTGAAATCAGAGATGTAAGTGGCATTTGTCTAAAAAAAAAGACGAAAATAGTGACTTTTTGGAACTTTCAGTGCCCTTAGATGCAATTTCAGGCCATCTCACAGAATCGGAATCTTTATTGAAAATATCAGAAAATCGGAATTGGAGGGCGTAGGCAGGCGAGGGTGTGGTTTGGTAGGAGTAGGCAGGCAGGGGTGGGGTGGGAGTTTGGTTCATGCTGGGTAGTGCACCTGGGCTAGTCGCCCTTCAGTGTTGTGCAGGGGCGCATTGTCCGACACAAAATTAGTCTTAACGTTAGTCCTAACTTTTTCACTAATCAAAGTCAAAAAATTATGAAATTAAAAGTTACGAGTACTAGTGCACGCAGTGCATAGACGGTCTACGAGAATAAAGCTAATGTCAAGACTAATGTTAAGATGAATATTTTGTTTCTGGCATCGCATCCCTGGGTTAAGAAGGGCAGGGCCAGTGCAACGCCGGATGCAGAAATATGTGAGCTTTTAACACTCCCAGCTGAACTCTTATGGCAGACCAAACTGTCGAGAAAAGTGAAATGAGGTCCATCTCAAACAAATCCCGGCTACCCGAGGCAACCTGACTGAAATTTTCACGCTTCGATCTATATTGTATAGCCGCACGATAACTCAACTACAACAGCGAGGAATGAGTACCTTCGAATCGCCCTTGTGTCCACTTGCTAGCAGCTTCATGACTACGAAATTCGTTTTAGCCACTTTCAACAGAGCCTGGCACTGCATCGCAAAAATCACATTAGAGTAAGAAGTACCTAGTGAACACAATTTGTGTTAATTTACCACCATGTTATTAATTACTGTTATTACGGCCCGAGTAGCCTGTGCGGTCATTTGTGTATTCTTTCGATTTATTACCTCTAGATGTTTTGGGGTCATTTGACACGTCGAATATATATATATATATATACACGTGTATATACGTGTATATATACACGTGTATATATGTGTGTGCACGTATATATATGCATGTATATGTGTGTGCGCGTGCATGGGTGCGCGGGTGTATGTATAGGCATCGAATTATTTAATAACTAAAGGAACTCATATAGCGTTTGCCATAATAAAGATATTTTCGTTGTTCAATTCAGCATGGTTTTTATTTTCTTGATCGTTGGTGTGTGAATGTTTATTTAGACGATTTTATTACTATCTATCGTGTTTAGGTTAACACGTATTACGCACGGGACAAGCCAATAAACAGTTATTAAATTATGATAAGGCTATTTATTTTGAAATTAAAAATACATATTTAACTCACTTTTAATTTACATATTTCATTTTTCACAAAAATGCCCGAAACGACAACAACACAGATAATGCGGTAAATAAATAAGGCCTACACTTCTAAAAATCACTGCTGCTTGATATATATATAACACCGAAAATAGATCACACGGATCTCGAGTCACGAGTCACGAGGATTTCATATCTCAATGATACATTTTTTGGTTATACTTATCAGTATAATTTATCAGTATAACGATATAGTATGGCGCTTGACACGATGGCGGCATAGACCCATGACTATACCATCGTAAAACACACGCACACAACACGTTACAACGGCACTTACAAACAAATAGGCGAACACGCTCTAATGCAGCAAATTATTGTACGATGCGACCCTATCATGAGTGTATTATATATATATATATATCAGGAGTGTATAACACACACGCACGCACGCAACAC